TATACAGAAATGCATCCATTATTTTTCTCTTCTTCCTTTCATTAAAATAATCATATACAATACAGTGCATGACTACAGACAGAAAGAACAGAACTGAACAGAAAGGCCATGACTGTACAAAAAGCAAAAGTACAAAAATACATAATCACTGATCAGACACTGAACGGCTAGTCCAAAACTTCCTTCACTTTCCCAGAACTTGAAAACCACGCAGAAAACAAGGATGAGCTAACAGCTCAGCAAGACTACATTCACCAATCAAAATCTCCAGAAATTCACATCAGAAGCAGATATTCAAATAGCCGTACAGAAATCGTATACAGACAGAACAGATACTTGAACAATTAGAAATCAAATCACAGATACGTGAATTCAAATCAGAGTGCAGAACAGATCTTACCAAACTTATAAAACTTTCAAATCACAGAATGGATCGTACAAATCAGAATTCAAATCAAATCAATCACATTTCAGATATTACATTTCATATATCACATAGCCCTGACCCTGACAGAATCTCGACGGATTCTGGCCTCTTATGCCTCCCTTCCCTGACACTGACAGAATCTCAGATTCTGGCTCCTTATGTCTCCCTTTGTGGTTATAGCACCAGAACAGAACAGATATACAGAATTTTCAGAACAGAACTTATTTTCAGATTTCTCAGATTTCCCTGACACAAACTAAATCTCAAAGGATTCTGACCCCTTATAACTCCCTTATGATATCACATCACAACAGAACATTCAATTCAAAAAATTGGATTTCGTTAGAAAAATCGGCGGCATAACGACAGTATACGAAATTTACACAAAATTCACAGATTCAGAAATTTATTAAATTACCACAGATAGTGCAAAACAATATTGTAAGACTTTCATTGTACTGAAGCAGCATTTTTCAACATCCAGATAAATCGTAGTACATTTAAAACACTGTCGAATTCAAAATACCCGGTAAACATTTTTTAGAAAATACTTAAAACGGGCACAATTATCAACTCAGAAACATACCAAAAGTTACGCGGTAAAATCTTCATTAGTGTAAAACAGAATCAATTATTCGCTAACGGAAACAAAATCCGAAACAGAAAAGTCGTCAAAATCCTCGTTTCTGAAAATTGAGAAAGGCGGAATGTGCCTTACCTCGAGTCGGTCAACTTTCTCAACTCCAGCTACGGACATAAACGGACAGAAGTCGCCCAAAAATCACTTTTCTTCATTTTTCCTTCGACTTTCTCTCTCCTGGGCTTTCTCTCTCTTCAAAAAGATCTCATTTCAATATATATCCAAACTGATCCTCCTGGATGATCCAAAATCGTGCCGGGACGATTTGCTCTCTGGGCACAATTCGTCCAGACGTGTACAGTAATCTTTCCTGGACGATTTGCTCTCTGGACAACATTTCGTCCAGACGAACCCCACTTCGTCCAGACGAACCCCACTTCGTCCAGACGAACTGCTCTGTCCAAAATTTCCTCTACAACCGGTACCGATCGTCCCAGGACGATCCAACTTCGTCCTGGAAGGTAAAAACTGAAACTTAGCTTTCACAATCTCTCTAACTTCAGAAAAATATCGTCCTCGACATTTTCAAAACAAAACTGAGTCAGAACAGATGCGGATATAAATGTCTCATATCCGACTCCTCCCAAGTCGCCTCTCGTGCTGTTCTGTGTTTCCACTGGACTTTAACCATTGGAATCTGTTTATTTTTTAACTTGCGAACATCATAGGCTAAAATCTGTTCAGACTCTTCCTTGTACTGCAGATTCTTCTGAATCTCCACATCGTCAGCAGACAGTTTCTTTTCAGAATGAGATATCCATTTTCTCAAGGAAGATACGTGAAAAACATTATGTATATCAGACATTTGATCAGGCAATAGCAATCTATAAGCAGACTTTTCAATCCTTTCAATGATTTCAAAAGATCAGACATACCTTGAACTGAGCTTACCCGTTCTTTCAAATCTGCTAACACCTTTTATCGGACTGACTTTGACATACACAAAGTCACCAATTTGAAATTCAACAAACCTGTTCTTCTGATTGTAATACTTCTGTTGTCGATCTTGTGCAGCTTTTAATCTTTCTTTAATCAGATTAATTTTCATAACAGTTTCATCCACAAAAGTTGAACCAATTTCTTGTCTATCTCCTACCTTAGTCAAAGTCAAAGGAGTTCTACACTTTCTGCCGTACAGAGCTTCATAAGGTGCTATATCAATACTGGACTGAAAACTGTTATTATAAGCAAATTCAATCAAAGGGATATGATCTTCCCAACTGCCTCCAAAATCCAAAACACATAACCTCAGAAGATCTTCCAGTACTTGAATAATCCTCTCAGACTGTCTATCAGTCTGCGGATTAAAAACAGTATTGAAATGCAACTTCGTACCCAATCCTTGCTGAATACCCTTACAAAGTGTAGAAGTAAACCGTCCATCTCGATAAGATACAATCACTCTTGGCACACCATGTAATCTGACAATTTCTTTCACATATACCTGAGCTAACTTATCCACCAGATCCGTCTGTCTTATCGGAAGAAAATGTGCAGACTTCGTCAATCGATCAACAATCACCCAAATAACATCATATCCTTGCCTTGATCGAGGAAAACCCATAGCAAAATCCATCGTTATCTCCTCTCACTTTCACTCAGGGATAGGTAACGACTGCAAAAGACCTCATGGTCGCTGATGCTCTGCCTTCACCAATTGACAGGTTTCGCATTTTGAAACAAACTCCGCTATATCCTTTTTCATTGCAGGCCACAAAAACAAGTTTTTCATATCTCCGTACATCTTACCACTTCCTGGATGAATCGTATAGCCTAAGTGATGAGATTCGTATAGAATCTCTTTCCTCAGATCTCCAGTCATAGGAATCCACAGTCTATTCTTACAGAAAATGATACCAGAATCAGAAATTCGTAGTTCAGGTTTCTTACCAGATTCAATCTGAACAATCAGCTTTAAATAGTCAGCATTTGACTTCTGGGCTTCATAGATCCTTTCTTCCAAAGATGACTGAATGTCCATCTGAGTCAACACACTCGAATCTGAACCAGTAGAGGAAATAACCTCCAACTGTAATCTTTCCATATCTCGTATTAGATACTCATCAGAAGTAAGGTAAATACCTGATAATCTAGAAGACTTCCTGCTAAGAGCATCTGCTACCACATTAGCCTTACCAGGCTGATATTGAATCGTCAGATCATAATCCTTGATCAATTCAAGCCATCTTCTTTGCCTCAAATTCAGATTCTTCTGAGTAAAGATATACTTCAAACTCTTAGGATCTGTAAAGTCTCACACTTGACGCCATACAAGTAGTGACGCCAAATCTTCAAAGTAAATACAACTGCAGCCAATTCCAAATCATGCGTCGGATAATTCTTTTCATGTGATTTCAACTGCCTTGAAGCATAAGCAATTACCTGATCATGCTGCATCAGAACACAGCCCAAATCTTTCAGTGAAGCATCACTGAACACCTGAAATCCTTTCGTACCTGACGGAAGTGCTAACACTGGAGCTGAAGTTAAACAATCCTTCAATATTTGAAAACTAGCTTCACACTTCGGTGTCCAAACAAAAGCTACTGACTTCTCAGTATCGTCAGAGGTGCAGAAATATGAGAAAATTCCTTCACAAACTTTCTATAATAACCAGCCACGCCCAAGAAACTACGTACCTCAAATACCGTAGTAGGCCTTGGCCAATTAGCAACTGCCTGAATTTTCTGGGGATCAACAGAAATACCTTCGCCACTCACTACATGTCACAGAAAAGAAATACTCTTCAGACAGGATTCACATTTGGAGAATTTAGCAAACAACTGGTGTTGCTTTAAAATCTCTAACACAATCCTCAAATGTCTTATATGCTCTTCCTCAGAAGCAGAATATACCAGAATATCGTCTATGAAGACGATCACAAACTGATCCAGATACTCCTTGAACACTCTGTTCATTAGATCCATAAAAACAGCAGGTGCATTTGTTACCCCAAAAGGCATAACCAAAAACTCGTAGTGCCCATATCGAGTACTGAAAGCTGCCTTTATCACATCCTCTTCCTTTACCTTCACCTGATAGTATCCAGATCTCAAATCAATCTTTGAGAATACAGAAGATCCAGCCAGCTGATCAAATAAATAGTCAATTCGTGGCAACGGATACTTATTCTTAATTGTAACTTTATTCAGATCTCTGTAATCCACACACATACGCATTGTCCCGTCCTTCCCTATCCGGAGGCAAACCAACCAACTCCTCAGGAAATACATCTGAAAACTCTCGTACAACCGGGATATCAGAAATAGAACCCACATCCATATTCATATCCCGTACTGAGGCCAAAAACACCGTACAACCCTTCATCCACAATCTTCTGACTTCTAACACAGAAATTAGACAAGATAAAACTCCTCTTAACCCTTGAAATACATATCTTTCACCCTCCATAAGCAAGCTCACTTGCTTCTTCAAACAATCAATCTGAGCCTCATACAGACTCAGTCAATCCATGCCCAAAATCACATCATATGAAGAAATCGGCAACAAAATCAAACACGATTTCCACTTCCTTCCAGAAATAATAATCTCACAAAAACAAAACTTCAGAGCAATCAAATTATTCCCAGCCGGCAAAAGAACAGAAAGAGAAATCGGTAACGTCACAGAATCCAGATGCAAAGTATCAAAACAACGCTCAGACAAAAACGAGTGACTAGCTCCAGAATCAAACAAAACACGACAGGGATGATCAGAAATATAAATCGTACCTGTCACCACATCCGGAGCATCTCGAGCTTCTTGCTGATTCAAACTATATACACGTGGCTAAACTGGAACTTAAGCTGGAGCTACAGAACGACTAGGCTCCCTCTGATCACCACTAGGTGGTCTCCTCGCCACAGAACCTGAACTACCAGCTCTACCAGAGGATCCCTCAGAAACAGTACGTGGAGGAACTGTCTTCGGCCTTCATGCTAGTCTAACAAAACTATCAGATCTAGACTCAGATCGTCGATCAAATCCAGCTTGTGGACATTCTGTAATTCGATGTCCTGGCTGACCACATCGGAAACACTGACCAGTCGCCCTGTAGTACTGGCCAAAATGTCGTCGTCCACAAGTTTGGCACACAGGTGCCCCACTAACTGATCCAGAACTAGTAGTACTACCACTACCAAAGACTGTAGTGGATCCTGACTGTCCGCTCCTCTTGGGATCTCCAGAAACAAATTTCTTCTTTCCAGAAAACCCACTGCCAGAAACATCACTATCGAACCTCTTCCTACTAGCAGTCCACCACTACTGAGTAGCCGTCAAATTGTTCTCTATCAGACGAGCTTTCTCAACAAGCTCAGAGAAATCAGAAATATGAAAGGGTACCAGGGGATGCCTCAGACTATCTCGTAGTCCCCTCAGAAATCTATAGCACTTCTCAGCAGAAGTATTCACCAGCTGCGGAGCATATCGTGCCAGAGCAGTAAACTCCGCCTCGTACTGCATCACCGTCCTGCTCCCCTGAACCAATCGCAAAAAAGTCTTCTGCATTTGCTGTCTTGCAGAAGGAGGTACAAACTAGGATCGAAATACCTCAGAAAATTCTTCCCAAGTAATCAGAGAGTTCAATTTACCTTGGAACTTTTCTTCCTGCTGGCCCATCCACCAGCGCTCAGCTTCACCATCCAATAGAAAAACGGCTAACGGTACCTTTCTGTCCGGAGGACACTGCATACCGTCAAATGTCTTCTCCAACCTTCTTAACCAATCCTCAGTTGCTCGGGGCTCAACAGTGCCCTCAAACCTCGGAGGCTTCAATCTCAGAAACATCTGTAGATGTCTATCTACATATTCAAAGCTGACAGTAGAGGCTCTATTCTGTGTCTTGCTCATCATCTGAGCAACCAACATAGCAAACTGAGAAACTGTATCAGAACCAACCGCAGGGGCAGAACTATTCAAAGGAGCAGCCTGACTAGCACTCTGCCTATCAGTCATATCTGGGTTTAGCAGATCCATAATCACACAGAAAATTAGGCACAAAAACAACATAATAAAAATCAAAACAAACCAGACTTACAGATCAAGTTCTATAGCTCTGTCTTACAATCCAAATTCCAAAACCATTGCTCTGATACCACTTAAATTTGTCACGACCCAACCCGATCGGAACGAATCCCTTCGCGTCGGACCGTAACAAATAATATCCAGGATCTAGCTTTGGAATATGTTTCAGAACTTTCTTCCAGATATTTCAAACAAACAGAAACACAGAGCTGCTATAAACTTCAAATACATATACAGAAATGCATCCACTATTTTTCTCTTCTTCCTTTCATCAAAATAATCATATACAGTACAGTGCATGACTACAGACAGAAAGAATAGAACTGAACAGAAAGGCCATGACTGTACAAAAAGCAAAAGTACAAAAATACCTAATCACTGATCATACACTGAACGGCTAGTCCAAAACTTCGTTCCCTTTCCCAGAACCTGAAAACCACGTAGAAAACAAGGATGAGCTAACAGCTCAGCAAGACTACACTCACCAATTAAAATGTTCAGAAATTCACATCAGAAACACATCAGAAGCAGATATTCAAATAGCCGTACAGAAATCGTATACAGACATAACAGATACTTGAACAATTAGAAATCAAATCACAGATACGTGAATTCAATTCAGAGTGCAGAACAGATCTTATCAAACTTATAAAACTTTCAAATCATAGAACGGATCGGATCGTACAAATCAGAATCAAATCAAATCAAATCATATTTCAGATATCACATAGCTCTGACCCTGACAGAATCTTGACGGATTCTGGCCCCTTATGCCTCCCTTCCCTGACACTGACAGAATCTCAGATTCTGGCCCATTATGTCTCCCTTTGTGCTTATAGCACCAGAACAGAACAGATATACAGAATTTTTCAGAACAGAACTTGTTTTCAGATTTCTCAGATTTCCTTGACACAGACAGAATCTCAAAGGATTCTGACCCCTTATAACTCCCTTATGATAGCACATCACAACATAACATTCAATTCAGAAAATTGGATTTCGTCAGAAAAATCGGCGGCATAACGACAGTATACAGAATTTACACAAAATTCACAGATTCAGAAATTTACCAAATTACCACAGATTGTGCAAAACAATATTGTAAGACGTTCATTGTACTGAAGCAACATTTTTCAACATCCAGATAAATCATAGTACAATTAAAACACTGCCGAATTCAAAATACCCGGTAAACATTTTTCAGAAAATACTCAAAACGTGCACAATTATCAACTCAGAAACATACCAAAAGTTACGCGGTAAAATCTTCATCAGTGTAAAACAGAATCAATTATTCGCTAATGGAAACAAAATCCGAAACAAAAATATCGTCAAAATCTTCGTTTCTAAAAATTGAGAAAGGCGGAATGTGCCTTACCTCGAGTCGGTCAACTTTCTCAACTGCAGCTACGGACAAAAACGGGCAGAAGTCTTCCAAAAATCACTTTTCTTCCTTTTTCCTTCGACTTTCTCTCTCATGGGCTTTCTCTCTCTTCAAAAAGATCTCATTTCAATATATATCCAAACTGATCGTCCTGGACGATCCAAAATCGTTCCAGGACGATTTGCTCTCTGGGCACAATTTGTCCAGACGTGTACAGTAATCGTTCCTGGACGACTTGCTCTCTGGATTACATTTCGTCCATACGAACCTCACTTCGTCCAGACGAACTTCTCTGTCCAGAATTTCCTCTACAACCGGTAGCGATCGTCCCAGGATGATCCAACTTCGTCCTGGACAATCCTGGAAGGCAAAAACTGAAACTGAGCTTTCACAGAGGATGCTCATGGGTGGATCTACAAAGTAGAAAGGTACTTTACTGTCAACAGGTTGACGGCGGAGGAGAGATTGATGGCAGCCGGGATGTGCTTGGAAGGGAAAGCTTTAACATAGTACTAGTGGAGGGATACAAGGCGACCAATTAGGACCTGGAGGGAGTTTAAGGACTGACTGTTGGAACGTTTTCAAACCAGTTGGGACTTCTACGAACAATTCTTTGCTTTGATGTAGGAGGGGACACTAATGGAGTACATTGAGCAGTTTGATTTCCTTGTCAGTCGATTGGATCGGCTTCCAGAGACTGTATTGGAGATGAATTTTATGAAGGGATTGGAACCCAAGATCCGTGCAACAGTTAGAGTGATGAGACCTCAAGACTTAGGAGAGTCTATGGATCTAGTTCAATTGGTGGAGGATCAGGGGCACCTGGAAAAAGAAGCAGGAGCCAGTAGTTCAGGAGGCTCATATAAGATGACCACCACCTTTTTGGCACCCAAGGAACCAGCATCGGGTACTTTTCGGGAGACTTCAAAGGAGAAGACTGCCGGAGGAAAACCTGAGGACAACTTCAAGCTCACAGAAACAAAATTATAGGAGAAGAGGGTTAAGGGGATCTGTTTCAGATATGATGAGAGGTATATGGCGGGGCACATGTGTAAGGACCAAACTCTTTAGGTTCTTAGCATTTGTGATGAAGATGGAATGGAGGAGGGTGTCGTCTTTCCACTCTGCAGATAAGGTGGATCTTTGGGAGGGGAGTATTTTTAGATCGATCAATTGGATTGGGACCGGTTTATGCAAGCAACGGCGGAAGTCTAAGCCTCCTGTACGCAGGATACGACCGCCTAGTCTTCACAGAGCTGTTTAGGAAGATTTTTGATGGGAGTTGAGAGGGAAATTTCAATGTAGGGTATGCTTAGAAATTTCCATTTGAATTGTATGCATTAAATTGTTTGTTTTTCTAAGGTTAGAGCATCTAGAATTTGGCTGAAATCCTGTCGATATTCCGCTAACCTGCAAGTTGGCGCTGCTCCAGTGGATCTCCCTAAAATCCGCTGAAATCCCGTGATATCTTGCAACCGGACGTTCAATGCGACACTATGCCTCACTGTTAAAAAGGAGACGAAGTAAAGACTTCATTCAATTTTTCCTTACCCTGTTCGCAAACCCATGCTCTACTTCACTCTCTGCCGAGAACCCCACTAATCTCCTTAAACTATCTCCGAATGCAAGCAAGCCGAAGCTTCCTCTGACCCTTGCACCTGCTTTGAGCTTTGATCTCCCTTTCATCTCCCAGCTAAAACTGCCGACAACCCCTGTCGACCTCTAATACGTAAGCCAAAGCCAACCCTCAGCCGAAGCTTCCCTCTCCGGCCTCTACCTCCTGTCATCTTCCTCTTCCAACTGAACTCACTGAGCCCTAGCCCTCCTATCTTTCAACCCAACTTAAGATGATGCTCTATCCTAACATGCAGACGACCGAATCCCTAGCCTTCTCCGATTCAATTCATCCTCCATTCCTCCAATCCCGACTCCAAATCCCCCTCAACTCCTCTGCCCTAGCCTCCCGATCTCATAGAGACGCAAAATGCAAGCATTTGAAGCCTAGGTTTTTGCTATAGCTGGCCTAGACTCCATCTCCCTTCGCCTCTCTGTCCGACCGGACCCTGCTTAGGACTTCCACAAGAGCCGAACTCCTCCTCTAGTTATATCCGAACCTTTTTGTTCACTGTGCAACCTTCCACTTTACCGACCAATACCCGACCTCATCAACCCGACATTTCTTCCTACAAGCCATACCCCCTAATTATCCGAGTCATCTAACCGGCCACCTCAGGCATAACTTTTATAGATTAGATTTGATTAATGATAATTATTAATTTCTATTATTATTAATACTTTTAATTATGTAGTTATTATTATCTCATATAGAAAGAGAGATGATTTAAAAAAAAAGAGAAGACAAAAAAATGAGAGTTCCAAAAAAAAAGAGAAATAAAAAAAAAGAGAGAAAGAAGGAAATTGGTTTTTGTGTATTCTTTCATCATCGTTGTTACCACCGTCGTCGAAGGTATAAACCATCCAAACTCAAAAACTTCGAGAGCCCATTTTCATCATTCGCGATGCACTGAAAACTGCTTATACACGCTTTTCTTGGCGTGGTGGGAAGAGAACCCAGTGCGGCGCCTATGACGAAGTGGATAATCATCAAAAGCATCATTTTCGATGTTCGCAGCGTCCCAGAAAATTACCCATACGTTTTTCTTAGCATGGTGGGATGGGAACCCGATGCGACGCCTATGATGAAGTGGGGATATATATAAGTACCCGTACGTGGGGAAACTTTGTGTTTTCAAACAGGTGTTTTTAAAGACCCATACATGCTTTTCTTAGCATGGTGGAGGACGAAGACTACGTCTGCGGTGTCCGAGGACACATATCATACATGCTTTTCTTAGCACGGTGGGAAGACCCAATTTTCTGTAGTTTCCCTAAACGGGAGAGATGCTTGGAGGCTGCCGAATTTTCCAGTGGACATGGGACCTAACTTGAACAAAATTTGAACAAAATTACAATAACATGAATTTAAATCAAATTGCAATGAATTGGATTTGAACTTAAAAATGAATGCGAAGGACTTGGACTTAAATGACATGGGACTTGGACTTAAATGACATGGGAAAATTCTAAATTTGAACTTAGACAATTTTAGCAAAGAATTGGACTTTGAATTGTCAAGTGCTTACTCAAATATAAAAATGCAAATGCTGATTAAAGTTCTTTAATTATTTGATTGAACATTAATAAGCATTAGAAGTTTGAACTTGGAACTTGAATGATAAGGAACAAGAGCTCTGAGCTGAACTGTGAAATGTTGGACCTCACTTGCAATATGCAAATGTAAAATGGGGTCAAGATTCTCAATTGCATGCAACAATTTATGCATGAATAGTGTAGTGATATGCTCATGAATCAAATTTAGAGATCTAACAACATCTCTACAATGGGCATGGTGAACATAGAAGCGTATAATGATTGCTTATACCACTTGTGATAATATCGTGGCAAGCATACATTCCTATTCCCTACAAGTATAAAGGAAGTGATCATTGTAATATTCTGGAGCCAACACTGAGCTACATACAAGCAGGGAGTTATGGAGGATAAATCTTCAATGTACACAAATGAAGAGCGACGAAACCTAATCAACCTAAAACATTTCTATGACTCATAAGCACCATGAAGGAAGAATTTTTGAGAAGCACGCTAATCTACCAAAGAGACATTAAAATCAAAATGGATTGCAATCCTCCTACAGTCAACATGCAGGCCAACACATCAGTCTCTTTGTGCCAATTTTCAAACAACATTGGTCCACCACAAATGACATATACCACGTACAAACATATATAATGCAGTTTACTGATGAATACGCCAATATGTTTATGAATGAAACGACTCGTCAGTCAAAATACAAGGATAAATCAGTGGTGGGCATAGCTCAACCAATTGCCAATAGTAGCATGCAGGGATGTGTGTCGGCCTCCTATAAAAATTGGATGACTGATGTGCAGTGAACATGGAAACTTGCTAATCGATGTGTACGAAGAGATTGGAGGAAACTATAACTTGACCAACAATCAATAATGACACATAAATGAATATATTATTTTTCCCGTTAACAACAAAGTCCCCTGCAAACATACAAATGCAACATGTAGTAAATGCCAAGATATAGTGACAAGTGATAAATTGCATGAAATAGGATTAAAATTCAAATATTATAGGAGTGAAACAATATTAAATATAGAAATTACATAAAAGTATCATATAACATCAAGTTCCAACTCCAAATTTCTTCTTTCTCAATTCTCTACTTATTTACATTTAATTCCTAATTAAAACTGAAATAGCTGACAACTTAGGAACCATCTTCACTGTCATCATTGAGGTGGTCTTTATTTGAGTTGTCGCCATAACAAATTGGTCTATCCCCTGCCTCATTCGGTAGAGCCGAATGCCTCCCAATATGCATCTTTTTAATTTATTTCAAATATGTTCATCTTTTAGAATATTTTATCAACATAAATATGAGATTAATGCTTCAAAATTTAAAGGTTGGTGGTGTACAGCTTTCAAGTGATTGTCAGTGATGGCTACAATAGTGTTGGCTGGGGCGAAGACTGAGGGCTGGAGGTAGAGGCAATCGAGGTAGTTATTGCGCTCGAATGTGCATGAAGGCTTGATTTATATTAGTTTTAACAAAAAATATATACATATATGGTGAGGCGTAAGCCTCACGCTAGCGGGGTGAGGCATGCCCCAAGGCGGGCCTTAGTTAATCTGAGGCACAAGACTCATAAAAAAGCTAGAGGTGTAAGCCTCGAGTCATTTTTCACTAGAATTGCGCTGAGGCGAGCCTCATATTGCACAATTTTAAACAATGCTGCATACAGGCAGCAGTAGTGGAGGTACTGGAAAGACCAAATACTGTAGCACATTCGAGGTACCTACCAGTTGCTATAGTAAAGACACTATAGCACCATCATGGTCAATATTTTTTTAACATCTATCAAATACACTGACTCCCTACAAGCAAGAGCAGAGGATACCTAGTGACATGTCTACGAGGTTAGAGGAGACCCACCCTACATACTGCATGTCATCTACAAGCAGAAATGCATAAAGGACTGTATTAAATATAGAAGAAATTTCAGCAAATACAGTATCCTGTTGTCTGTATCAATTTGTGAATGAACGTAATGATATTCACAAGCAAGACACAAAAGGATATATAACTAATGCATGTGACGCATCAAAATATTGCAACACCCTTATAATTAGCAACCATGTAGTGTTAGTCAAATATGTAGATCCATTGCAAGAAGAGGATGCATAACAAATACAATTAACTACATGCTGTTATAAAAGACCCGTTGTACACCCAATCTATCGTTCACAAGCAAAATACTAAGTGAATACATCAAATACGAGTTCCTACGAGTTGTTGTAGAAGACCTACTATACACTCGAAATGTTATTTACAGACAAAATGTCAAATGACTATAGCAAATGCAAATCTCTACGAGCTGTCATAGAAGATTCATTATATGTCCGGTGTCTAAACCACTAGTAAAATGCAGAATAATTATAACAAATACGAATGCTTTTGTTCAGCGCTAGAAGATTTGTATGCAAAGTGACTTGAACACGAGCGAAGGCATCATATTTATAGCGAATATAATTACCTATGAATAATAGAAGAAGATTCGTTAGTGCACTACAATCCACCTGCATAAAGCAAAAAGTAGTGCACAACAATCTACATGGATAAAACGGGCAAAAGACTGTAGTACGACGCCGCGTCATCGGATCTTCAACACTCATACAAGTAGACAAAAGGTGTCAACAAGCTTCAGCGCCACGCCATCGGATCCGCAACATTCAAATAAGTAGGCATAAGGCATTTACGAGCTTCTATATATAGCGTCGCGTACATTGAATTAACACTTATCCGCATAATTGAGTAGTGTCAAAATATCCTAAAATGCTCTTATACATGAACTATAATATGTTTGTACTTAGGCACACTGAAGGACACGTGTAATCACAAAATTCGCATGTGTGCCGGTGAGCGTGTTACGGTTACACACGTGATGCCTAGGATGCTGTCATAGATGTCAATGGAGCAAAATAACGAGCGCCATGGAGCACGGCGCGGCGCGGCACACCTACGACACCATGTGTATGGCGCGGCGCAGAAGTTCAAAATGGCAAAATCCCACGAGAAAGCAGCGAGCGGAGGCCGGGACCAAATTTTCAGAGCCCACAACTATTTTCTATTCAAAAGTGAATCTCAATAGCCTCCTCACCATAGATGTCAATGGCGCAAAATAGCGTGCGCCATGGCGCACGGCGCACCTACGGCGACATGTGTATGGCGCGGTGCATACGTTCAAAATGGCGGGTGCTATTTGTGCCACATGCGCGCCATGACGCATGGCACACGGTGTAAAATAGAGTGAGACTTCTGGAGCTGCAAAATCAACTCTTGCTGTTGTTATGATTGTGATTGAATGGACTTGATATGATTGTGATTGAAGTGATATCTTGATTGGACGTGATAATTTTCTTAGCATGTTAGTTAACTAGTATATAGCTTTTAGAATATATAATGATATGTTATGATAGACAAACATTCCACAAAGTATAACAGGGTTATCTGTTTAAATAAATTGCTTGGGTGATTGCTTGAGTAAATTGCTTGGATTGTTATTTATTTGTATTGTCATTGTTTGCTTGTTATTATGAATAGACAAACATTTCACAAAGTATAACATGGTTATCTATTTAAATAAAGGGATTTTTACATACATAACACTTAAAACTGTTGAAAATACATATCTAACACCTAAACATTATTATTTACTTATCTACCACCTAAATCCTCCCTCTCCTTCAATTCTACCACTCCGTTTGTCCGCCCGTCTTCTTCCCTTCGTTCGCGTGAATGAAGTGTACAAACCATCATGTGTCTCCGGCATGGTTCCATGAAACCAACTCCTCCTTCCTTGGTACACTCCGGCGCCTCCTCCAAGCTTACCTCCGAACACTACTCGGCACAAGACGTTGTAAGAAAGAGCAAAAACCATCTCGCTCAAGTTTATTGAGGAGGAATTGGAAGAAGATAGATCAGTAATAGCGTTGCACAACATCTCCACCTCCTGCTCCTGGATGGATTGAAACGATCGCACACGCCTAGGGCTTAACAGCTCGACGACGTAGAGCTTGCGAGCCTGCCGCCAGTTCTCGCCATACTGGGTGAAGGAGATGTTGGAGTTGTTAAAGGAGAGCTTGGTTCCTACTTTGGAAGTGTACAACCCATCATATGTCATATTCCGTTTATCATTAGAACATCTCCACGTATCATATGTCATGATCGACGACCCCCTCACCGAAGGCCCCGACCGGAACTCCAAGCTCTTCCCCACGCGCAGGGAATTTACGCTCTCGCCTTGCAAGAGGAGTCCGGATTCCTCATGGCCATGAATCTTGTCTTCGTCTCCGGCGATTTCAACGGCAGCTCGCTCGCCGTGCTTGGCCGGAACACCATCCTCTCCGATGTGAAGGAGATGCCCATCGTTGGTGGCAGCGGCAAGTTTTGCTTTGCGAGGGGATACGCGCTCGCTACCGCTGTTGAGCTGGATGCCGCCGCCGGAGGGAACTACAGTGAAGGTGGCTGTTGAGTGCGACGGGATGCGACGGCATGAGTAACAGAGTGGTAGATAAGTAAATATTAATGTTTAGGTGTTAGATATGTATTATCAATAGTTTTAGATGTTATGTATGTAAAAATCCCTTAAATAAATTGCTTGGATTGTTATTTATTTGTATTGTCATTGTTTGCTTGTTATTATGATAGTATGTCTTTCAGTTTAATGATATTACATATTCATGTTTATTATTTTGTAATTCTTGCATAATTTACGTTATGTTCAAAATGGCACATGCTGTGCCATGGCTCCAATGGGACCTTTACGTCATGGTGTACCATTCGCCGTTAACAAGTATGGATGCTGTGCTGGTTAATAAATGAACCACAGTTTGAGCTCGATCCTTTTATAAGGATAGATAGAAGTCGACACAGCTTAAATTATCAAACAGATATGCAGTCAATGTGTCGACCAAAATATCTATTTTATATATTCATATAAGGCCTTCAAGGTCTATGACAAAAGAATAAACCTCGATGATGGCCGCGTTGAATGTTTATCTCAACTGGAGGGGATTCTACCTTTTTAAAATGCTCTTAAATTCCCACAAAATACAAAAACAGAAATAAACTTATTACCCGAATGATGACCATGTTAAACATAGATCTCAATCGGAAGGGTTAAATCTACATTCTTTTAAATGCCACCAAAATACCCATAAGAAAAAAAAATCAAAATATTTAAAAATTGGAATAAACCCATCAAACGCTTAAAGCATAAATTCCATCTACCCTTTGTAACAGTTTATTGAGGTGAATAATGTGAAAATAATTTTAGCTCATGAAGAGCTAATGTTTGATCGAGAATATCACTAGAATTCATTCTTAAAAAGTCTCTTGTAAGTAAGGACGTGACACGTGTCCTCTAAGTGATGGTTTTACCGCTAAATGGCACCGCAGATAAATGGTTATAACCGGTGCCCTCTAAACCGGGTGTTTCACCGCCAAATGACACAATTAAATTGCGGTTATGACCAGAGCCTGTATGCTCCCCAATGACATCAAATCCTTGAGATATGAATCAATAGGATATAATTGATAGGGCACAAAGCTATTTGTTAGCTAATTTTGATTCAAATTTATTCCTTTAGACAAACATCCACCCCAGGTCTACAAGGTATCCTTGGACGAAACAACTCATGTCTGCTGACATGAATCCTTCTATCAGGTTGGGTCGACTACCTCCTCTGACTAAGTAGACTTGGGACCACGATAGCCTGATATGACGGAAACATGGTATCTTTATCGGGTCCATCATCTATTTCCCCACCATCCGCTTTAAGTATAAGATGATGAAAATTTCTGTTTTAAATATAAAACCTCCAAACATCAACCCATGTTACTACAATATGCCAGATAACACGTATCTCTATGTATTTGATTGATGACTAGCCTTAATCGAAAGTTCTCTCTCATTATCGGGAGGGCTAATTAACTATAGGGGCTTGTGCCTATATGAAACCAGAACTCAAATCATAAAGTCCTCGCAAAATGAGGGTGAAATCTCCGAAAGTGTCTTAGCTACAAACCCAATCTACCTTATCAAAATTTACCCTAGAACTTAATCTGCTAAAACTCCCCCAAAAAGCAACAGGGGAAGCTGGGGCCAATTTTTCGGAGCCCACATATTTCTAGCGACTCCGTTGGGGTTCGATTTCTCTTTTCATCTTTGGCTAGTCATCTCAGTGCTACAATAACAACTAATCAATTCGGGCTCAAAATTTCCAATCTCTCCAAAATGATCATTTAATGAATCAAAATTCTTAATATTCTAAAATGATCACTTCACAAATCCATTAAAATGGCATTCATGAGGGTCTTAAATTTATTTTAATTACTTGCTTGTACTTTTTATTTTTGCCTATTTTTGTTTCTCTATTATGTGCAAGTCTCTGCATTTTGAAAGTGCGGGATAATGTATCAGAAGTTGATTACTAGCTCTTGTCTTTCATTTATGCATATGATCTATAGAACACTTTGATGACTGTCCAATTATGACGAGCTAGGATCCAGCTGACGAATGCTATCATTGAAACCGGAAATGCTGGTGCTACCATCCAGTTTGGTAGTCTCGACTTCTTTGCAATTACTATAAGGATTGCTGCCATTCCTGTGAATGGAATGAGTATTGAAAGGCCTATAAGGAGACTTCATTTTGCCGAAGCTCCTACTCTTCGTGCGCATATGTCAGCATAACGACCCACCATTGTTGCTGTTACACGTTGGACGCATCTGCCAACGTTGCGATCTATTGAGGTTTATGTGTTCGAACGGATTTAACCGCTGAAGGCTTTAGCCACCAAGAGAATTGTGACTGGTGGAAGGATTTCTGTGGTGATTGCAAACTCCACCACTCTGCCATCCGGGTTATCTACACCTAGGAAGAGTATTATTGAAGCTTCCTCATCCGGAGCAAAGCTGACAAGAAGGCAGAGGAAGCTGAACGTTGAGATTCAAGCTCAGCAACAACAGTTACTGGTCCACCCATCCAATCTACCAACCCAAGAGCCTGAAGCTACCAGTCCCACCTGGAATGGGTTTGCGGGCCTGAGATGGGTCAAGAGAAATAACTCCTCTGGTGAGCTAAAAAAGTCATATGATAAACGCCCTGAATCCCTAGTCCCTCCAAAGATGAAAGAGCCTAAAAAACCGCTAGCTCGAGTCTACAAGGTCCTGAAAACCGTGATCAAATGGAGAAATTGGTGGGAAAAGGTCATCCATATCCTGCAAAATATGATCAAATGTCGTACTCGAAAGTGTACTTTGTCTCGAATTTTAACACCTTCAATGGTAATAATAACCCCTGATAGCACATGGCGCAATCTAAGGCCACCTGCGGCAATATAGGAGGAATCGACGCCCTACACTTTCGACAATTCATTAACAGTTTAAAAGCAAATGCTTTCAAATGGTATGTCAAATTGCCAAACGATTATGTGAAGACCTTCGTAGAATTAGAAACTATGTTTATGAAGAGGTTCACCAGTGCGAACAAGAAGACAACGATCGCTAATCTTGCCTTGGATAAGAGAAAAAAGGACGAATCAGTGACCAAATACATCTCTCGCTAGCGCAATCTTGTTGGTGCAATTTAAGTATGAAATGTGAGCAATAACTTGAAGAAGAGCATATTGTGCGGTTATTAATGGGAAACATCGATGATAAGATGCAACTATTCTTGTGCATGACTACCATCATCACATTTCAAGATTTGCTGAACAGAGAGATCAAGTTTGAGAAACTAAATTTGTCTATATTAGAAAACCATTCTGATAAGCTCAAGAAGGCTAAGACCCTTGGTGCCATATGAGGTGAGGCCGATTCTACGTTTTTCTCTTGAGCTAATTAAGAAAAATAGATAGTTTACAACGTCAACAAAGACAAGCAGGCAATGCAATATGTAGAAATGCCAAAACAAGTCTATAATCATAGCCCCAGCCAAAGCTGATACGAGGGGTGAACAATAGGCCATGAACCTTCCAAGATGGAGGAGAATGCCCAAGGCCGACAATGGGAATTGGTGATAGAACGTTCCCGTCCCTCAAAGATAAAATGAATATGGAGTATTCATGTGAGAGAGAAATTGTTGCCAAGTTGTTTCTACAGTCAGTGAAAGTGGGCTTGGAACTGCCAGAGTGCAAGAGGCCTGAGGAGTTGAAACATACTGGTGACCCGAACTACTGCCCGTACCATCGGGTACTTGGCCATCACATTGAAGATTGCTACATCTTTAAAGATTGGCTTGAAAGAAAATATATGTTAGATCTCAAGATTGACAAAGCGGAAGAGGAAGAAGAAGACTCCCTGTGGAAACTTGCCGGGTCATTTCGATGACATTAGTAACCCCGACCAGAGAAAGATATATCGAAGAATTAGCTGTTGAGACCTGCTTGGCGATGTCAGCAATGGACTATAGTTCAGAAGGGGACCCATATTTCCCAGGTGAAGCTGAGTCCAAGCATGACATAGCATCGCAGATGGGATATGTGAGGCTATAGGGTGATTCTAAACCTGAGGGTGAATCTCTAGACATTATGATGGCGGACTCCGAGGAGAATGCTCCGTCAAATGAGTCTAAACCAGATGAAATAGTCCAAGTGAAGCTAAGAAGTGACAAGATACTGTCACCTCCACCGAAGAAAGGGATCTTCAATAAAGATAAGGAGAAATAAATAGTTGTCAATGGAGATATTATCCCCAAGGACCCTCAGAAGAATGATACTTCAGTCAAAGGGATAGATTATAATATCTTATCCCATCTGAGGAAGATACCTATGCAACTTATATATACGATGCCTGGTGATGTCTAAGGACCTTCAGGAGACTTTGATTCATGCTCTCAAAGATCCCGAAAGATACGAGGTGTATTTTGCTGAACAATATGACGGAGGTCCTATAAGCCTGTAACGAGCCGTTCATCACCTTCACAGAAGAGGATATGATGCTCGGAATAACATATCATAACCGCCCTCTGTATGTCACTATAGAGAGTAACGAAAGGATAATCGGTCAAATTCTGATCAATTTGGGGTCTTCCATAAATCTCATGAGCCTAAAAGCACTAAGATCGATGTGCCTCGACGTGGAACATCTCGTTCCAGATAAGCTGATGGTACATGACTTTAACGAGAAGGGGCAGAAGATCCTAGGATCGTTTACGCTCTCCCTTACATTTGGAGAACTTCATACAAATGCCAAATTTCACGTGATTGATGCAAATACCTCATTTAAGGAGGTTTTAGGTCGCCCATGGTTGCATGAATACAGAATCGTCCCGGCAACACTACATTAATACAAGAACTACCTCAGGGATGGAAATGAATTCAGATTCTCTGGTGACTTCCAGCCATTTGCCATCCACAAAGTAACAATCTACGAAGATGCCAAGTACTTCATGCCAAAGAAACTGAGGTTGTCAAGCTCTCTCGAGGCCCAAGCATCAAATTCAAAAACTGCAAAGCAGTTTGAGCAGGAAGGCAAGAAAA